AAGGTGGGGTCCCCCTTTATGTCTTCGATTCTTTTTTTACTTTTACTTTATTTATTTATTTTTTGACATACTGGAATAGAATGTATTCGATATTATTTTATTATCAAATAAATATTGAAAATTTGTCAGCGATCTTGAAGATCGAATCGCTCTAAATTCATAAAAAATTAAAAATCGGTAAAAAAAATTTTTTTTTATAAACATCATGATTGCATACAGTAAAATTTTTATTCTTTTGTCTGTTAATGGCGTCTCAGATTTAAGATTAACACAGTTGAATTATAAACAGCCAACATAATGGAAGAAATTCAGCCAGAGTTAGAAATGAATGTAATCTATAAACTGAAATTAGTGGCGCGACAGCCCATTAAGGGCCAAGGCCTTCTGTTCCCATCCCAGTTTTCTTGTCCTTGGGCTCTGAGGTGAAGACGCAGATGTTCCGATTGGGTGGTCAGCCGAACGCAGAACCCCCAGTATTTAGTCCCCAAGCATGCCCATTGAAGTGATGAAAGGCTGAATAAAATATATAATGTATATTAAATAAATAACTCCAAGAAACTGAAGCTGTAAGATATTACTTTATTAAAAAAACTTCATTCTCTTCAAAAATATATAAATAGGAAATAATAGTCGACATGCTTCAAGCACTCAAAAATAGGTGCCCATTTTCAAGATTTGCCAGACGTGAATGAAAAGAAGAATAAGTGATAACTTTTGTTTAAGTTTTTAATCAAGTAATAAATAACGTATATAAATACTCAGTGACGTTTTCACGCCCCGGGCGATGCTGAAAACGGCACCCTTAGTTCAATTTCGGAAAAGTTATCTTTAAAAAAAAGTCCCTTTGAATTCCTTTTTGAATTTCAATATTACTATCAGTAGTATTACCAGTAATACTACTAGTAGTACAGTAGTACTACCAGTACTATATACAAATCAAACCTCTGGCGGTACTGATCCTGGAGTTTCCTTGTGTTCTGGATTGGTTCAAAATTACAAGGTAACAGAGTTGAACATTAGTAGTCGTGAACCCAAAATCGGGTCGGCTGTTCAACGACGGTTATAATATAAAAATAAAATATTACTATCAGAAAATTTTAAAACCTAAATCACCCCTGAATGTTGATTTAAGAAACACATGATGAAAATAAATAACATTTAAAGATTTCAAGGTTAAAAAAAGAAAGCCGTCAGGTTAAATAATGAGAATATCTTCTCAAGCTTTCTAATATAAATATATATTAAAAGTAATATTTTTCATAAATGTAATCTTTCATCTCAAAGAAATATATAAACATGAACATTAAAATGTATTTTTTTGTATTTTTTTCTGACGCAAATAGTTTTATAAACTCTTCAAAATCAGTTGTTTCTGCGGTTTCATTTTCGATAGAAATTATTGCTAAAAAACACTATGGCGTCTTGGTAGATCTTAAATAGGTTTTCATAGCTTTTATTTTACTAAAAGAACTTTCAATACTTGTAGTGGAATTGTTAACGAAATACTTAAATTATCCTCAAGTTGGGAAAAATATATTTTATAATAAAAAAATATATTTTAAGAAAGAATATTAAAATATATATTTAATTTTTTTTTAAAAAAGATAAAATATATTTTTATTATTATATTATAAAGCAGTTTACGGTAGAACAATTCAACGAGGACCAATACGGCACACCCTCCGTCCTTCCACGGGCTGATCCAAGTTGTCACACGCCCTTCTGACTAGCCGCTGCCAGAAATGCAAGACTTAGGTGATCTACTGGGAACCGTGTTTTATGATCATATCATTACCTATGTGCAGTGTTGCCAGATTAAGGATTTCCCCCCCTAAACTTAGGGGGATTTTTTTTATCTTCAGTGCGTATTTTAGGGGAATTTGTTTTTAGGAGTTTGTTTTAGGGCTATTTGTGAATTTTACTAGTTTCATTTTGGTTACGTTCTAATATCAAATTTCATAACTGAATGTGTGAGATGGTAATATGAAAATCAATATGTTAAGCCAAAACAAAAGGAAAGTTTTAATTTTAGAACTTAACCCTTTTGTTGAATGTAGTAAGTTATTACTTAAATCGATCAACCTGTACGTTTGGTGAATTTGAATTCAAATTATTTAAAATTCTTAATGTGCATGGTTTAAAAATAATGCCAAAGGATAAAGAAAAAAAGAAGTACGTGCAAAAGAACAAGAAAGATTGGGAACACGAAAAGCAGTTTAAAGGTAAATTAAGTACAATTGTTCATCCTTTTTTTTTAATTATCAACACATTATTTCAAATCAAACTTAAATTATTATTTTTTTTGTAGAGTGGTGACTGGAAGGAATGAGTTAGCATTTTGTAAATGTTGTAAAGTTGAGTTAAAGGCACATAAACATTTCTACAGCTGATGCTATTTTGCGTGTTCGATATGAAATTTCTAATGGTTGTCAAAATTTTGTACCTACTTCTTCAATGTTAAAAATGTTTAACAGCGCAAACATATACAAATCAGAAAGTATTGACAAAATATGTAGGATGTTTCATCAGAAATTTAAGCAAAATGTTAGAATTGAAATATTAAAAATACTATATCGTTGATAGTAAAATATTTATGAAAAAATGTGCGAGTCAGAAAGTATCGAAAAAAATATTTTAAATATTTTAGTAGAAATTAAAGATAATGTAGCGATTGAAATGTAAAAAAGATTAATTTGTTGATAATAAGATATTAAGAAGTATTAAAGCAGCATTTTCTATACATTATTTAACTTTTGTACTATTTCTTAATACCTATACATTAAGTTAAAAATTTTGAGGTTTTTAAAATTTTTTTAGGGGATTTTACAACACCATCTGGGGATGAACGGTTATCGACACCTGGCAACACTGCCTATGTGGGTCAAAAAAAACATGCAGGGATGAACTCGCCAGCCGGTATGTTGGGACATATCCCGGTTTGTCATGTAAACTTGCGACCTCATGCGAAAAAAATGCAGCTCTCCTTTGAGAAAAAAGTTTGTTAAATTTATTTAGTCCTCGTTTCTTAGGTAAAAAAATATAAATGAATAAATTGAAATAAGGAATTAACAAAATTGAATTTTAAGTATTTTAAATGCTTTGAAATAACTCACAAACTAACATTCAAAAAATTTTGGTGTTTAAAAATTTATTATTTATTTATTTTAATATATTTTTTATTTTTATACTCCTTAAGTTGCGTCCACCAACCTCCAGGGTGTGCCACTTCCTCCGTGGTACCGATAAAACCTAGTGGATTCAAGTAATGATCAAATGTAGTGGAATCCAGTATTGAGCAAATGATAGCGAGTTGGAGAACCGGTAAAAATTAGTGGATTTGAGCACCGATAAAAAAAAAGTGAGTTTGAGTACTGATTAAATGATAGCGGGTTCAAATACCAATAAAAAGATAGTGGTTGGAGAATTTTTCAGAAGAGAGTGGGCATGAAAACTCTTCAAATGATATCCGGTTAGAGTATCGATAAAAAGATAGTTAGTTCAAATATTGAAAAAAAAAAAGGGGGGGGGGAGCTGGTAAGAGATGTATTCAAATGATAGCTTGTTCGAATAATGTTCTAATAGTCGAATTGAAATAGAAAATTTAAAAAAAAGAAAATTTAAAAAAAAGAAAACTTTATTTTAAATTTTAGTTTTTCAAAAAATATTTGAATGATTTTGTTTCAAAGTGTGAATTTTGCCATCTAAAATTACTTAGTTCAAATTGATATAAGAACTTTTATGCTATAAAATTCAAAATTTCTTCTACCCTTATTAAAAAAAAATAATAGATAAATATATTTTTATAGGTAGGAAGGTATTTTATTTACGTCGCACTAGAAATGCACAATGGGAAACATCCCTGAGGATCATCCAAAGACATGCCATCACAATTTTTGTGTGTACTTCCTCAATTTTGACGTAGAATTAAAGGGGTGGGGGGGTGCTTCTCCAAATCCCTGTACCCATGGTACTGCTCGGCGACTAACCACAGGAATTTTGATGTCACAGATTTTACGAGCATCGCATTTACCCGTAAATGTATCGTATATTAAGTATATCGTATTTACCCGATGGGTCTTAGCGGAGTCCGATTCTCTAACCACTAGGCTACCATGGTTCCCATCAGAGATAGTTGTAGTTTATTTGCTGTTGTTGTTGTTGTTAATTTACGTCGCACTAGAGCTGCACAATGGGCTATTGGCGACGGTCTGGGAAACATCCCGGAGGATGATCCGAAGACATATCATCACAATTTTGATCCTCTGCGGAGGGGATGGCACCTCCGCTTCGGTAGCCCGACGACCTGCGCGCGAAGTCGAGCACTTTACGGTAGCACAGTTTAACGAGGACCAATACCGCACACCCTCGGTCCCTACGCAGACTGATCCAAGTGGTCACCCACCCGCACACTGACCGCAGTCAGTGATGCTTGACTTCGGTGATCTGCTGGGAACCGTGTCTTAACGATCAGTCCACTGTGGGACTGTAATTTATTTGCATTGTACTAGATCTGTACAAGGGACAATTAGCGACGGCCTGGGAAACATCCCTGAAGATGATCCGAAGACGTGCCATATCGATTTTGATCCTCTGCAGAGGGGATGACACCCCCGTTTCGGTAGACCGATGACTTGTGCGTGAAACCGAGCACTTTACGGTAGAGCAGTTTAACCTTGGACTTATACCGCACACCGTCGGTCCCTACGTAGACTGATCCAAGTTATCACACACCCGCGGACTGACCATAGCTAGGGATGTTTTGACTTCGGTGATCTGCTGGGAACCGTGTCTTAACTATCAGTCCTCTGAGGTACCCATCAGAGATGGAAAAATCATTTCCGGCCAAGGAAACTGCAGAAGAAAAAATTGGTTTTTGTGACAAAAACTAACAGACGGATGCGATCTCAAGCACCCACCCTCTCATAAAAAAGAGCAACACTAGCTAATTTTTGGCCAAATACACTCTCGATTTTTGGTGCAAAGCACCCCCTCTTCCCCAGATCTCCATTCCACCTTACTACTACTCATCATCGATTTATTACTACAGATGAATCGGTTAATGCCGCTTCGCGGCAGTGCACCGAGATTTATATGATTTCGACCATTCTAATTTTTGGCCCACGCATTTAAGTTAAATTTGTGGGACAGATCTTCTGTTATTTGCACAATTTTAACGGGTAAGTTAATTTTGATTCTTATATATTAGCATTTTTTGTGTGAAGTGATTTTAAAATTAAAAAAATGCCCATATTTGAATCTCCTCAGCTTTGCAGCCGTTGAAAAAGCTTCAGTAACTCTAAAATAAATAATTTAATTTCAAATGAAACAAGTTTTACTAAATTTTTAAATCTCAAGAACTATAGGATTTTGATAAATTAAGTTAAATCACTTAAATCCCTTTCTTATAAGCTACTTTTGGAATTTCACCAAAATACTTAATTGCTCATTCTAAACACCTTAAATGCAATAATATAACTTATCTTTTGCGGCAGTTCAAGGATATTATCTAGTAACACTCCTATTTAAACTTTATACAACTTATTTTTAAACATTTAGACCTTATTTAAAATATATATATATATATATACGTAATATTCGCTTGGTTAACCTTTTCGGGTGTAATGTAACCAATCTGTTAATTCTAATTCAACAAATTTTACAAATCTCTTTAAATGACTAAAACGAACTGTTCTCAGATCTTAGTTTAAATCTGTGATATGCTCTATTTTTTATATCTGTTTTAAAGTGATTTTTCATGAAAATTAGATTGAAAACTCGTAAGCAAAATTAAGCAAATTATATATGCAAATTTATAGCTATTATATCACACAAAAAATTTATCATGATGTGAAATTTTGGACATTTTAAAACTTGCTAGCGCACTCAAATAAATACAGCTCTGACGTGGAAGTTTCATTTCTTGACCACTGAGTAGAATTCGTGGCTCAAAAAATATATATCAAAATTAAATTTGATGTAATAAATTGAAAATTTTTCTTAATTTCATACAAAGTCCATCTGCTATTATCCTTTACAATTCTCCAATATATTTTATAATCCATATATTTTATAATCAATATATTTTATAATCAATATATTTTATAATCAATATATTTTATAATCAATATAATTTATAATCAATATATTTTATAATCAATATATTTTATCATCAATATATTTTATAATCAATACATTTTATAATCAATATATTTTATATTCAATATATTTTATTATCAATATATTTTATAATGTATTTGTAATTAGTTTCTTTAAAGCAATGTAACTATTTGTTACTTTATTCAGGTGCTGATTTCTGGCTAGATTTGTGTAATTACGTATTGAGTTCAATCTTTATTCGTAATTACACACATCAGCCGTAATTACATAATTCGTAATTACACGAATTGAGTTTATTCTTTTATAAATATTTATAAAATTTTTCGTATGCTAGTATAAAATTACTTTATAATAAAGGAGAAAAACTTTAACTGAGAGTTTATTTGCACAGCATTTCAAACAGGAAAGGATTATACATATATTGAAACAGAATAACAATGAATTTATAGGATTAACGTGATTTTTTTTAAAAAAATTATGCTCTTGACAACTAACGAAATCTGAATCTTAAGAGACTAAAGGGATTTTCCGACCAATAAGAATAAGCAGATAGACGTTTGCATATACATGCAGTGTTATAAATGCAGTGCATATACATGCATATACATGCAGTGCGTTGCATATACATGCAGTGTTATAAATGATTTATTATAAAGAGCAACTTATGTGGATCAAAAATTTGGTTAGATTTCTTGACTTTTAAGATCTGTGTAATTTTTCGCTGAAAAGTTATGTAATTTGAAAAGCTTCAATGAAAATTTTTATAAAGATTTTCCGTGGTGTTTAAGGAAAACTCTATTAAATTTAGTTCAATGGCAAAATTTATAAAATTCCTCTTAAATGATAGTTAATGGAAGAGTTGGATCCATAGAGTTGAAATAGTGGGTTGGATCACCCTCCTGGTTGCTGGAAAAATCTGCTTGATAAAATATTCCGTAAGCAGCTTTTTTCTCTCAATATTCCAACCAAAATAATTTAATATGCTGGCGGTAGAAAAACCGTATCATGCTTACCGTAATATTTCAAACTGAGAATTTAATTTTTTTTTTTAAAATATTACTTTAAATGCATTCATTCACTAATGTAAGTGGTTTACGGCCTAGTAATTATAGTTAATATTTAATTTCAGCCTGACTATTGCTGAACGGAGGAAGGAATTTCATAGCAAGGAAGGGACTAACAGCCTGACTATTGCTGAACGGAAGACTAAATTTCATAGCATGGAAGGGACTAGAAACAACATTGTCTTGATTAACAGATGTAACCAAAAATGAATTATCGTTAAGGACATCTCAGCAAGGTGTGTATATTAGCTGTATTGTGCTCTGTATAATATTTCCTTAGCAAAGTTCTTTAGGCACAAACTCGTCTGGCTTTTGAATGAAGATTAAAATTTTTTTGACTATTTTAACTAATATTTGACTAAAATTAATTTCTAAATAAATATCTATAATTATAGTAGAATACGTTTTGAAATTTCGCAACTCATAGGTAAAAACTAATGAGTGATTGTTTAGAATTATTTCGGGATGGTTTCTCGCTCGCTTTCATATTGACACACTAATCTACCCCTATTAAACTCTAAAGTTTTAATTTGGTGATAACTGCAGGGCATAGGGCTGAAATGTTTTCGGTTCTCCCGGTTGGGAATTTCCAAACTAATTAACTTCTCTATTCTTGGACACTAAACACTAGAGAGTTTGCGAATTTTTTAATTTGCAATTAGCCAGTTAAGTGCAAAATTTAATTTTTGAAGCTCTCACAAGTGTGTAAAGTTAATTAAAATAAAGTTAAATAGAGTTAATTTTAACTTTATTAAATAATTTAAACTAAGTTAAAATATGTAACAAAATAGTTTTATAAGTTTTACTTAAGGCAAGGAAGAACCAAATTTTCATTCAATAAATTATTACATTTCTAATATGCATCTGTTAATATTAACATCCTAAAATATTTCCAAAAATAATAAAATACATAAGATACAATGTTAACAATACGAAGTGAAAGCGAGGAAGAGCTTTCTAATCAAATGTTTCGTATTCTTGTATTTAATTCAAGAATATCTTGGACTCTTCGTAAAATTTCTCTGCAAATAAACTCCAATTAAGTCACGGATTGCATATATGATTAGTTTCGGGCCACGAGACCCCTACCTCCCTGCAACCTAAATTTCCTGTTCATAAAATAAATTAAACTTACACCAAATGTATTTATTGAATTTTCTAGCTTTGATAGGGAGCTGTAGTTTCTTTATTTTTACAAGAGTTTAAAAGTCATACGCACTGCAATAGATTTGGTCCGATGGCACAAGCCTGATCTCGTTAATATCAACACTGAACATACCATAACGGGTCAGAAGACCGGTTATTATATTGTATTTTAAAGTATTGGTATATTTAGTGTTAACTAGTTGGTTGAGACAATTTCTCAGAAGACACTACAGGTGTTCTAGAAGTTTTGTGAATGATCTGTTTTTGAGAAATTGTAAAATTTGCGAAAACTATTCTATCTTTACGCAGTAAAAACACATGTCTTTAAAGAGTAGTTTTAAAATTAAGACTCGACGAAGTTTAAGTTTCATGAAAATTCTGTTTTAACTATAAACTATTATGAAGTTTTCACCTATAAAAGATTTTGGATATACTTAAACTCTTTAAATTTCTCAAACTAAGCTTAAATATCTCTCTGAATTCGTATCCAGGGATTTCCATGGGCAACGTAGAAATAGCTATTTTAAAAAACTTCCTCTGCCAGATTTCCATGAGGATGTATTTTCCATTTCATTGTGCGACCCGCTCTTTTTTACTTTATGGTTTCAGTTCAGCTTTTTTGTGATTGTTTATTCCAAACTGGGTTAACAGACGTTAGTTACCATATTTCTATTAAATATACAAGCATGTTTTGTAGCATTATGCGCAGTTTTTTCAAAGCTGAATGAGATATAACCTACATTCCTGACAATATTTGCATAGTTCAAGTATCCTGAAAACAGTTATGGCAAAATGAGAATTTATAGATGTACTTTTCTACATCTATATTCCACATCTGCATAAATCTCTGCAAATTTTATATTTATTAGTATAAAAGTTTAAGTTTGTATTTCATAAAATTATTAAATGAAGTATTTTCAAAATGTTGCTTTTATGATTTGTAAATTTCAATTTTCCGGTATCCTTTTTATCTAGTTTTATATTCAAAAAACATTTATGCATTTTAATTCTGAAATATGATTAGATTTGATTGGCAATAAAAATGAGCAGTTTGGGATTTATTCTAATAAAAACAATGATGCAGAGTAAGAGGGTTAAGACAGAAATGCTAAATGTTTAAAATTGCGTTTATTAAACAAAACACAAATCTGAATTTAATAGTTTCTGCCGAAAAGCTAGAATTGCCGAATTCTAGCTTTTAGATTTGTTTCTTAATGAAAGTTCAACAAAATCTGGCTAAGGTCAAAAGTTTTGACAAAGCTGTTTTCTACAACAAATTTTTTACCTTGTATTCTACATTCGTGTGTTAATAAAATCGTGATAGTCCAAATTAAATTACTGACAGATAATTGTCCTGTTCAAATTCTGTTTGACTATGTCTTCCAAAGTTCGAATTTTCGTTTGCGATTTTGTAAAGTGTTAAAGTAATATAAAATTCCACAAAATTAATTATTTTAAATCTATTTATGTCTCAAACTTTAACTGCTAAACTTCTATTACATTTAAATATAAGTAGTAGTAAAACAATGTCCCTGCAGTAAGGGCCAGACTGGCTTTTGGTGCCCTGGTTGTCCTGGATTGTGAGGCTGGATCTCATGTTTGATATGTTACCGAGGAACTCTAGCACTTACAGCCGAATAGCTTAGAAGTTGTTGAAATAAACTTTTGAACTAGTGCATTAATCAAATTTTTAAGTGCTGGGTGGTATATAGTATGGTCCTAGACCGCAATTTTAGGATGCAGATTCATGCCTTGAAAATCCCACAGCACTTTAAGAGTGTTTAGAACTAGACCTCTCGTAGAACTTCAGTTTACGACAGTGTGCTATCTTTTAAAGATCTTATCAAAAAAGTGTTCTAATAGTTATATGGATGAGGGCTGCATATGATGAGCGATCCTAAAATTAACTTTGAAAACGTATCGTTCTAAATTTAAAAATTTCTCCTATTTATGTAGCTTAAGCCTAAAATTGAATGGGTCATTTTGAAAAAGGGTTAACCTCAATTTGGATCCATTGATGAAGTCCCTTTTTCAAAATGGTTCCTTATATTTTGACTTTCAGAAAATGAGGTTGGTTAAAAATTCCGAGCTAAAATAAAATTTTAAACATTTTAGCTAAAAGCTTAACTAAACAAAATTTTAAATTAAAAAAACCCATAAATTTTAGTTTCATTTCTTAAATATGTTGCAATCACATGTCTGTATATGAAAAAAATTTCAGGAATTGTGTTATAGTTTTAGATAAAATAGTTAAATAAGCACTAACGTTTAATTACCCGTTTATAAATCTCCAGCTGTGTATAAATAAAACAGTGAAGGTAATATTTGCTTAAATTTTTAATTAAACAAATTTAGTGGCGAATGTTTTCAGTATTTTGTATTAAATGACTATTGTTTGAGACTTTAAATTGATATATTTTCAAAACCCTGTCCTTTGTCTTGGGCAGAAATAAAACTTATGTTTAGTTTATTTTTGAGCTTTTATTACATAAAAACAAATTTGTGTTGGGTATGTAAGAGCGATAACCGATGATCTTATATACATACTTTAGCACGAACTCTTATTTCCCCAAGAAACGTACAATATACCTTTAAAAATTGCAAAAACTTACTTCAAATCCACTCAAAACAAATTTATTCGGCATGGGAGAGAACAAAAGTTTTATGGCACTTTAAATGATCTGGTTTACTAATACAGCAGAGTACAAAACGTGCCTTAGATTAAAAAGCAAAGTCTGTCAGCATATGTTTAATCGGTTTCCGTTCATTATATTGCAGAAAAAATTGTAATCACTTTTAAAATGTGCTATATTTTGTACATTGCATTATTAGTTCAAATGTAAAGATTTAAAAATAGATATTGTTGCCATAAAGAATCCATATTTTTCGATGAAATTATTAAAATTTTAAATGTTATAAATTCAAGCAACAGATGTTAGAAATTTTTTCCCTTTGTGAAAAATAAATTTAATTTTTCTGGTTTTTGAAAAATTTACGCGTTAAGACTAAAAATTAAATTTTTGAAATTTTTCGAAATTAATTTTAGATTTCTGTGTCATAGTTCCAAGGATTATATTTTGTTAAAATGCCAGTTGCTTTTTTGGAGTTTAACTATTCTTTAGTGCTGAAAATTAAGTTAAATTTACGCTAAATTGAATCAAGCAACTTGAGGCTTAGCGGTAAAGTTTTAGACTTGTGTAAAACAAAACTTTTAATGATACTTATTGTATTGTTTTAAAGGTTAAATCTTGGTAAATTAATAAAAAATATTTTTAAGGAATATGAAAATAGTATTTAAAAAATATTAAATGGAAATTATTTCTTGGTATTTCATTTTATATTATCGGATTTTCTTTTAACATAAAAACATTGGATTTTAAATTTTCCAGTAGATTTCACTATTTTTATTTGAATATTGTATATAAAATCCTTATTTCTTGAAATTCTAATTTAAAATGTTTGTCACCAGCTCACGTATATTAATTTTCAGAAAAATGAGAATATATTTTTTGAGGTGCTTTGTCGAATGCATAGTACAATAGTTAAAGAGAATATCATTTGTTTCATTACACATTCTATTAATCTTAATTAGTGTTTTAAGAACAGGTTTATTAAATTTGTTTAATCTGCTGAAATACGCCTAATCTCTTTGAAAAACAATGTAAAAAAAATAATATTTAATGAGATTTCTTTTGGTTAAAATCACAGTAAATTTACTATATAAGATCGTAATAATTAAGCTGTTTAATTTTTTAATGATAATCATGAATTTAAGTATGTAAAATGAATTCTTTCGAAAAGTGCAATAAAGAATTGTTCACATGCTGCATTTGTTTTTATTCGCCTATGACACTTACTTCTATTTATTGAACAATAACTAAGGAAGATACCAAATTACTTTCAAAATTGGAATAAATACAAAATCGATAATTTTTGAAACTGGTTAGTCAAGTTTTGGAGATTACCTTAATAAAACAACTTTTAAATTTAAAATAAGACATCAATAATGTATCTACACAAGTTTAAACCAAATTTAATTATAATTTCCTAATGTTTTGTTCTTATCATTTCATTTTAACTTGATGTAATAC